GAAGAGGCAACGGAGGTCTGAGGAGGAACGTGCCATGGTCACAAAATCCGTAAGGTGTGATCCTACCAACCACACTATACTGAACAAAGTTCAATTTGTCTCAGAGTAGAAGGTATGATTTAACAGGACTGGATCTTTGAGGGTCATTTAGAGCATTTTTTTCCTCAAAAGATGGCCCACAGACTGCTTAAGAACTGTTAAAATGCAGACTGCTGTCCATACCAGAAAACAGAATCTCACAGACAGCACGGAGGGGTGGGCGGACAAGAAATCAGAATTTTTTAACAACCTATGTGATTCCTCCTTACTCGCATGCTTGAGAGATATTATCATGAAGAACAGAATAGGCCTAATCACGGAATTACTTAAATTTTCGGATAAGGACTTACAGGACGTAACATTTCAAAACTTCTGATTTACAAAATACAAGTAGAAATACCCTTAAGAGTTTTAAAATCATGTTTCACTTTGCTTTTTAACGTAACAGGCATATTTAACTCATCTTCCACTTAATTCTCGCCGAGTTAACTGAGCAGATATATCCGTAGAGGTCACAAGATCCTGACCTGGATCAAGCACAGAATGAGTCGCTAACCCCCAGTGGCCTCCTGGATGGGACCTGCTCAACCGAACTCAGCCATTCAAACACCATAGAAACCCTTTACAAAATGACATTTAATCCACCAGGACTGTCTAAAACATCTAATTTTGCGTTTCTGTTTCTGAATGGGCTATTTTAGTGTCATGTCTCAAATGACTATTTTAAACTTTAGCCTCATGCGACCTGATGTATCCCCCAGACTGGACTTAGTGTAGTGGACTGCCAGACTTTGATGATAAATACATTGCCAGGTGGGGGAACTTGACACAAACTAGTTCTAGGTATAGGTCAAAGAGAGAAACGGAATGAGCTTTCCATCTACTTAAAAAAGATAAAAAAGAAAGAAAGAAAAAGAAAAACAGTCATCAGCCCACTAGTTCTAACTCTACCACTGTGATCTGCAACACATGCAATACATCCACATTCGTGGCGGACTGTGTCTTCCCTGGTGAATACTGGTCCTCAGGCAAGCTGGGCTGCACTCAGGACTCCAGGTGCCCCTGTACCCTTATGAGCAGGATGGGCTCTGTAATTCTTCTTTATAATTACCGTAAGTAAGTGAGTTCAAGTCATGATGTACATACTATCACATAAAAGCATTTAGTAACATGTCCTATGATAATTCTATGAGGGCT